CCGATCCCTTCGGAACTTTCTGCCATGGATCGAAAATATTTTAACTTGTCTTCGAAGTGCTTTCTCGTCTCAGATTAATATTTTTTGGTTCGGCCCCGCGATGTTGAAAGACGGCGGAATAGACGGCCTGGAGAAACAGCGGTTATGCAAAACCCGCCGGGCAGGACCGCATTCCCTTCTACCCGAATAATTTATACCTCATCTTTGTTTCATTTTTCCTTTCCATCATATTAGTGTTAATTTATGGAGGACAATTAAAGGAGGCGTTCAACTTCAAACAAATATTTCCAATGCGTCGATTCAAGGATTGAAGTTTAAATAAATTAGAGCCGATCGATGTTATAGCATGATTTGAGTTCTTGTTTCTCGCTCCCATCATTTCTAGTAAAATTAATGATAAAAAAAGTTCACAAAATGATATTACAATGAACAGGAAAAATGAAAAAAAGTTTTAAGTGTTGATAAAATTCCACTGAAAAGAGCCTCGCCCATAATGAAATCATTGCTTTGAAAATCTTATCAAAACGTCATTTCATCGAAATTTAATTTTTTCAAATTTCCTCCGCTGTAAGATGTACATTTTAAGAACTTAATAGGTGTTATTTTTTCAAATGTATTTCACATTCATCTATTATTTTTATTTCTATATCGTAACGCTAGGCAATGTGGAGGCCTACCGCCAAGCAAAGCAAGCAGCAAAAGACCCACAACTGGAACAAGAATATACCCACTCTCGGTACTCTCGTACCCTCCTGTTACATACGTACCAAAATAGAGGTAGGTACCAACAGAGAAAAACGATATCACACCAAAAACTTTTACCCAACCCTATTGGTGGTAGAATTTCCAATTAATTATAAAGTTCCCTATGACATAAGCAGTCATGGCAAAAATGAGACTTACTTGACGAGGTTTCATATCCAAAAAGGGGATTGCTGTTAATGTTTATCTAAGAAAAAGCAGACGTGGGAACACATCATTCAGGATTGTACCATTTGCGAAGCACAAAGGAGAAACATGTTAAGTGCAGTTGTTCTTCAGGGAGAAGCATGGCCTGCATCGCTGGAAATTTTAGTTTCGAAAAACATTTTAAACTATATAAACAGCAAGGACTTTAACTTAATTTGACCTATTTCAATGCCCTTTACTTTGTTTCTGAGTAACTTCTGTGTTAGGTATTGTGCTATCAGTTCATTATGTACAAATTATTATAGATTATTAGTTCTATAGATTGAAAACAAATTTGCCAAATGACCTGTAATTACTTTGTGGGAGCAGATCAAAAAACTCACCCCAGAGTAATCGGTATTCCTCGGGGCGGGGTTAAACAATCCCTTTCTTACTCGCTAATAAATTATACTAATTCCAATAAAATAACATAAACATATCCCCAGATGCAAAAAATAGAAGTTTGGTCAAATTCGCTCCCCCAGACTATTCGATATTCTTCAGGGTAAAGCATGATAAAATATCAAAACTCTTTCATTTCCATTTAACGTAGTAACTACAATGTGAGATTTGTAGGGGCTGTCCAACGGGTTGGATATTTGGGTGATGAATTAAAAAAAATGGTTGAATGAGTTTCTTAAAACTTTGAAAAGAGCGAATGATTTTATTCCTTGCTTTATTTGGTTCTCCATTTGATGACTCTTTATGAACGTTTAGATATTTTGTTCCTAATCGTTCCTCATTTCCATTATTTACTTATTTAGTATATAATATATAATGCATTTAATATTTGTAATTTTAGTTAGATTGTTAATGTGTGGTGGTTATTGACCGTTAATCGATAATTATTCAGAAATCGTGAGATGCGGTCTGGTGTGATGTAGGTTTCAGATACACGACATGCAAGAACGGCACAATTACACTGAAGACAAACACTTTGAGCCCCGAAGATGATCTCAATAAAGATCTTAACGTTGGCACGATAAATTGCTGAAACCTACATCACACCAGACCGCATCTCACGATTTCTGAATAATTAGATTGTTAATTTTAATTTAGTCGCTTCATAATAATAGTTGTTTAGTATTCAATGAAGACTAGTCTATTGAAAAAATAAATAAATAAATAAATAAAATCTGTGATGAAAGTCACTAATTTCACGCAATTTTAAGAAGTTATAATTATTTTCTTTAAGGCTATTTAACTACCGATATATGCAAATTAGAGGGTGAAGATGCCAACACGTGTGCCTTGAGCTGGTTCAAAAATTCCGGAAAGGAGATATGAACTGGGAAGATTGATTCTACGATGTTTTGTTTGTACAGCAGCTATGGTTCAAACAATCACCAAATTTTACAAACTGCTATGAATCAGTACTTAAAAAACAAAAAAAATCGGAAAATCATCAATGGTTGTTTTGCTTCGCCCAGACTTGTTAGTTTTATTCAAAATGATTAAAACTGATGTCGACTATTCCTCCCTTCTAGAATTTATCAATTTTTTGCTTCTTCTAATAGAATGTTTTTGTTTTTTTAATAGAATATTACATTCCCTCAACTGAATTTTTTCGCATCATTCATGATTTCGTTTAATAACTTCACTTATAAAATTCTTTAATATTAAAAATACGTTTTTGTTTTATAGAATTTCTTACCACTAGAAATATACATTTTTATTTACGAAAATTGAAAAATGTACCCTATTTCAAATATATTAAAGGTTTATTTTCAACTTGTATTAACTTGTTAAATTCTTCCTTTTAACACATTTTTCAAATATCTGTAAATAACTTCTTTAAACAAATGCATAACTAAATGTTTTTTATTTTATAATTTTTACTTGGATATTTGTTCAATAAGTATTGAGGCCTTTTTATATTTTATTTCACATATTTTGTATTTTATTTATTTTATATAAATCCGGTTCCTAGTTTTGTAAACTTCGCGATTTGACAAGATCGGATCAGAAAAACTAACATAAATTATTATATACCAAGTTTTATATATCATTTACCATATATAGTAAATATATACACTCAAAGCCAACGTTATATTAATTACCAAAAACATGAGTTTTAATAAAACTATTTAATTATGATGGTTTGAACGTAAATTCACCAAAACAGCGGAAAATCATTTAGTGAATGATTAAAATTTGTCTAACAATTTTTTTAACCTAGTTTTGGTTTTAATGTGTTATTTTAAGAAAAACGAGGTACTAAATTGGAAGTGAAATTCATTCTATCACTAAGTTGTATTCCAGTGTTTTGATAAACTTTCTGTCAAATAATCTAGTCGCCGAAACGCCAAATTTGCTCATAATATCATTAACAAATTTCACTCATTAACTAACCGGTGTTTTGGTGAATTTACGTTCATACCATCATAATTAAATAGTTTTATTAAAACTCATGAATTTGTTTAATTTGGCATAATAACGTACGTTTTTGGTAATTAATATAACGTTGGTTTGTAATCTTTGGGGGTATGTATGTTATATTATGGTAAAAGGTATGTAATACTTGGTATATAATAATTCCTAGTAGTTTTCCTGGTCCGCTCCTTTATTGTTCCAGGCAGATAATCAAATTAAGTATTTGGTTTCTATGGACGACTGTTTTTTCATTGTGAACGTACTCTTAATACATTTTTCTTCATTCAGTCTTGCCTTTGTATGAAAAATATATATAAAAACTCACGGTCGAAAAGTGGGAAAATCTATGGAGCTAATAAATCTGCCATCAGCCAGAATAATTAGATTTTTAAAATAGAAATCAATTAGTAAATTTTTGTTAGTGTTTTTTTTCTAATTTTTGCTTATAAGTATAAAAAATATATTTTAAAAAATCGTGGACGAAAAATGGAAAAAATCTATGCAACAAATCTGTCATCAGCCAGATAAAAGATTATAATTGAGAAATGAGATTTCCATTTCCAAACCAGTGAATTTAAAAAAAATGAAATGGAAGTTTAATGAAGATATTGTATGCAATTTTATAATGTTTTTTGTTTTTAAAGGAGATTTCAAAGCAATATGAAGTTATTATAAATTGATTTATAATTTTATTAAAGCTCATGAATTTCGATCTCCTTTAATTTGGCTTATATTACCATAAGTTTGTTGTAATTAATACAACTATAAAAATCCATATAGTTTGAAATAAAGAACAAAATACGTCCGGTGTCTGTTTTTTTCTTCCAGAATTTCTATGTTATATATGGTAAATAATACAAATAATACATGATATATAATAATTTGTATTAGTTTTACCTATCCACTCCTTTATTGTTCCATGCAGATAATTAATTATTTGACTTGGACGACTGTTTTTTCAATGTGAACATACACTTAATACATTTTTCTTCATTCAGTCTTGTCCGAGATTTTTGTGCAACAATTTTCGAAACGCTCATGGTGTTCCTGGATATTGGAGGTAGCTTGGTTAGGATTCTAGTTGGAGGAGAAAATTGAGGTATCGTACGCGAAGATGCTTGCGATGGTATTGGGGTGTGCAGGAAGGTATAGATGATATAAAGAATACATATATATACAGAAAGTTGGGAGAGCAACAATGGTTGCTGGCTCCCCTCAGGATCCATATAAAGGGTAAAATCATTTTGCATCTCATTACATAATGTATAATTAATTTTCTTTTAAATAATGAAAAGTAACGATACTTTTTCGAAGTTCTAATAGTTGCAGTTGAAGTGCATCCATTTCATCGGATAAAAAATTATCCCAGCATTGCAAATCTTCTTAAATCTCCGGTGTGGTTGTACCGTGCAAACATTGACCGCGTGCAACGTCAAGAAGCAGGCAAATTAACGAAAGTGACCCGGGAAAAAGAGTAGGGACGTTTGGAATGGTCGGAATTTTCAGAAACCGGAGCCGTCTGCCTGATATTTTCGAGGGTAGTGCCTCCAGCAACCGGGAGCCGGAGAGCTCAAGAATGCTCAAGAGCCGTTTTAAAAGGTGGAGGGCGCTGGATCGGCAGCGCATGCGTACCCATACCGGCATTCCACATTCCAGAACTCCCTCTCCTTTTCAGAATGCCCCATGCGCTCCGGATGCCCTCCACACGCACTCCATCCCAGAGTTATCCCAGTTTAAAAACCTCCGCCACACAAAACCCCGCGCTCGTAGTTGGTGACAAAATTTACCAGACCAGCTCTCCGAATTCAGTCGTGGTTTCTTTGAAATAGTGTGAGTTGTGAAGTGTTTTCTCCTGTCTTGTGGATTACCCGTTCATTTGGATTATTTACCTTTTTGCATTTTTAAATTCATAAAAAAATTGGATAACACTCATGTGGATAATTTCTTGCAACGTTGCTTTCCATCAGTTAAAGGTATTTTTTCCTCTTTTCTTTATTTCTGAAAATCGCTTTGATTAAATATAACAAGTCTTCAAACGATAACACCATGGCTTTAAAAAACCCAAAGCAGTAAGCCTCGCCAGCTTAAGTAAGCCTTTTGAATCTTATACGACTAACATTTCGTTTTTGAAGATTCAAAACTCATTGAAGTAAGAGAATCAGTTGAAATTGCTATAATTAAAAAAATAAATACAAATAAAATGAATTTGATAATGCAGGAAATCTCTTCACGTGTTGATAACGATAAATCTCATTAAATGTTTATTAGTGTTTTTAATATTTGCATATAAGTATATATATTAAAAAAATATAAAAAATCGTGGTCAAAAAGTGGGAAAAACCTAAGGAATTAATAAATCTGCCATCAGCCAGATTAATTGATTATTTTTAAATTAAAATTAATTACTAAATTTTTTTAGTGTTTTTTTTAGTATTTCCATATGAGAACAAAAATATATTAAAAAATCGTGGTCGAAAAGTGAGAAAAATCTATGGACTAATAAATCTGCCATCAGCTAGATTAATTAGATTTTTTAAATTAGTATTTTTTTTAATATTTGCATATAAGTATAAAAAATATATTGAAAAAATCGTGGTCGAAAATTTCGAAAAATGTATGGAACTAATAAATCTACCATCAGAAAGATTAATTAGCTTTTTTAAAATTAAAATTAAAATCAATTTTGTTAGTTTTTTCTAATATTTGCATATAATTATAAAAATGTATATATAAAATCATCGTCTGAAAGTGTGAAAAATCTATGGACCTAATAAATCTGCCATCAGCCAGATTAATTAGCTTTTTCAAATTAAAATTAAACTTTGTTAGTTTTTTTCTAATAGTTACATGTAAGTATAAAAATATATACGAAAAAAATCATGGCCCAAAAGTGAGAAAAATTTATGGAATTTACAAATGCCATTAGCCAGATTAAAAATTATTATTGAAAAATGTGATTTCCTTTTCCAAACCAGTGGATTAAAAAATGTTTGAAATGGAATTTTAATGCAGAGATTGTGTGAATTTATTTTTTATTGATTTCTTTTGCAAGATTTCAAAACAGTACGAAAGTAACTTAAATTGAAAATTTTAACTATGGAAATTGAAGAATAATGTAACACCTGATGATTGTTAATGTGTTTGGAAAATTTGTTCTTCTTTGAGAATATGATTTATTTTTATTTTTTACATTTTATAGTTCACTGTTGTTTTTACATATAACTGACACTTTTCACGTTGTTTCGGTTTATTTTGCATGTGTTAGTCGGCACCGTAGATTTACTGTTTTTCGTTCTTTGATTTGCGTTTTCTCTCGATATGTCAATTCTTACTGGAATTCATGAACGATGTATGAAACTCTACGAGAACAGCGCCAAGGGCAGACGGAATATACCTGAAATAATTTCATTTCTTTCCATTATAATATTACACATAAAAAAGTAAATTTCTTGTTTAGCCGTTATCTATCATCCTGGTTTGCCTATCCTCGCTGATTTTTGTTAATTCATAGGCATAGGATAGGCAGACCAGGATGATAGGTAACTATCAAACACTGTTTTATCACCCAGCAGACGACAGGAGGAAATCTCAAATATGTAACATAAAATTGCAAATTATAATTAACAACACCTATTTAAAATATATTATCCCAACAAGTTTTCTGATATAAAGAATTAAAGTAAGAGAAATTTATCAACGAAAGATAAAACGTTTGAAATGAATAAAGTAATATATTTTATCATTACACTTCAGTAATCGTTATTAGTGATTGAAATTGGAATGATTAAGTATTCAGAACTTTGTAAACCTTTTTCCTAAATATCAATAAATAAAAAAATATTATAAGAACGTGGTTCTGTTGTCCATTTAATATATTCAAGGATAACTGCCATGAATTTATGTGGATATTGATATCTTCTTTATTGGATTATTACTTATTTAAAACAGGGTTACTGCATACACCAAAACAGGCCGTAATAGAGGATACAAAAAATAGATAATGCCAATAATTATTGACCAAACTATCAAAATGAAAGTTCTATTCTATTAGAAATAAATCTCCTTCAATGAGCCCTCCATGAAATGCATGCAAGTTCAGTCATAATAGTTGTTTCATCTCAGAAGTCGATAAATTTTTTTTTTTAACTATTTGTTTTTATGTAAGTTATATAAATTGTATCCTGATGAAGGAAATTAATACGCCGAAAGCTTGACTACAATGTTTGATTTTTCTTTGAGGCTTCCTCCCCGATGCTCACACAACATAATAATAATATCAAGTTCTGATTTAGTCTTTATCACCGAGAAAAAAAAATGATAAAACGTGTTAATTGGAATTTCCCAAATTTTAATAAATTTAAATGAAAGGGGCGGTTCAAATTCATTCACTACATGTGTTCGTAGATTTGTTTTTTATTATCTTCAGCAGGGCCCTTGCAAGCTGTCACTGCATTTCAAAAGTGCAAAGGTTGATGACGCGAGATTGGTCTTGCTAGATAGATAATGTGAAACACCTTAACAATTTATGTGTTTAAAAAATGTTAGAATTATATAATATTGGTCAGTTTAGTTTTCGATATTTATAATAAATGGAACTTATTTTTCTTTACCATATAATATGGTATAGAGGTGTTTTGTGTGAATACCGAAAGAGAGTTTCTACAGTGCCGCCGCGCTCGCTGGCCGAAATGCCAGGCGGTTTCTCTTTTCATTCCTTCTCACAGAAATATTTGCCAAGAAAGTTCCCGATCTCTGGGTTCGCCCGGCGTAAAAGTGACCCCATCTGAGAAGGGAGACCACGAAAAAGAATCGACGGCACGACCGAAAATTCACTCCTGAGGTCGACGTTCGAAAAAATGTCAAGGCTTTGTGGAACCTTCGGATTCCAGGCCAACTGTTTACAATTAAAAACTGAACCTATTGAAACCTGATGGAAAGGTTTCATGCATAACTATTTGATAGATAAATCGCAAAGGTTTTGCTAAGTTCAAAATTTCACTTTAATCAAACAAGATAGTAATTATCGGATGAACAGAAATATAAAAGAGGGTAGGCGAATTTTATTAGAAAAGTTTAACCAATATGCCTAAGACAGATAAAAACAACTCACTGAGTCTAAAAATTGATTGTCACTGCAGTGGTGCAGGGTATTTTGACCTTTCACTACCTACTCCGGGGAAAGTGTCGAACCGGTCTCTCCAATTCCAAGTTTTGCAACGTTAGAGCATTTTGTCGGAGAAAGGGCCGATGTAGGTGAAAATGTGGACGAAATTGGGGAACTGTTTCATTTTATATCTCCATCCAGTTGGAACATCTAACATACATTTACATGTGTAGAGAGCAAATTCAAAACCTTCGAAACACGCCAGACGGACAGTTTGTCTCGTTTGTGGTCTTGTGTCGTTTCCTCTCGATGTGGCCCTGTCTTACACGCATTCTTCATTAATGGCCTGATTCTAACAAGCGTCCTCGAACGGGCAAAGAGTATAAACGGCGCCATGCAAGCAGCAAAATTAGTTCTTCAAGGATATTTAATTTTCTGTTCTACTACTAAATAAATCGTTTTAAACAACGATCGTTACCTTTTTTATAAGATTTATTGAGATCATAAATATTCAAAGTTTTTTTGGAATACAGCCACTCTTAACGTATTTCTGATTGATCACTAACTTCCAACTAAAATACGATGATTTCTGCTCCATTAAATAATCAATAAAAAGAAAAAGTATTGAATAATAATACAAATTATATATTCTTCATTGTCAATGAATAATGTGAATTTCAAAAAAAGTGAAAATCGCCATTCAGACTTCATCAGAACTGCCATGTATTGAAGAATGCTAAATGTAAACACGATTAAGATAAACCCTTGAATAGGATTATATTCTTATCGAAATAGATTTTCAAATAATAGATTATAATGAACCTTAACTTTGAATTGAAGAAATCTTTAAAAGGAAAACTGTTATGACAGATAAAAGGCTCGATTTTGGTAATATAAACGTTAACAAAAATTAGTAAAAATAATTAAACATCAAGCTAATGTTTGGTAGTTGGTTGGTTGATTTTGTTAAATTTACTGTTGAAATGTAACATTAGGAAGAAATGCTATAATTGACAACCAATGTATACCGTTTTTGTTCTTAAATATTAACATTTCGTAGCACATTCATAAAAGAGGAAATTTTTCAAGCAAAAATATTTTGTCCTCCTTGTTTTAACTGAGTTTCATTTGATCCATTTTTCTAGACTATCATACTTTCTTTAGAGACAGGCTATCAATTTTGTTACCACAAAATTATTACGACAAAAGCCTCACACATAGTACCAGTGTAATCTGTTTTAGTGCTAGCCTATTTCCTGTGTAATTCATGCGTTAGAAACGATGTTTTATGTATTTTACTATATTTCATTTTTAATTTAGACCAGGAATTTAATTTTTAACTTAGCATAACCATATAGGTAGCACAATCATTTTAAATAGCTAATGATTTAGAGTACAAAACCCATTACGTTTCTTTGTATTTATTTTCATTTTTTTATGCTCTCAAATTAATGCATGTATATTTAGGGTTCTACGTTTAATTTTGAATTTCGGATCATATGTAAAAATTTATAACGATCTCCGACATACCTATGTTCAATTGATGAGTACAAAATTCTAAGTAAAGTATTTCTATCTGTCTACCTATATTTTACTTTTTTATACAAAAATTATATTTATAATGCAAAAAGCACGAATTTTATAAAACGTGAAAAATAAAATACAAAAAGCACGCAACAATAGCTAACAAAATTTACTTTTATACTTTAGAAGGGAAAAGTTTGTATTAATGTCTATTGTAACACTGACGTAATAATCGAGAGGGAATATTGAAAACTACCTAGGAGAAATTGTGTTAGATAATATTATTGTTGATCATTGTTAGTTTTATGGCTTTATATGAATCAACAATGATATAACCCCTGATTT